ATCTTATTGAATTTTCTGAACTGGACGAATTTTGGGATAAAGTTACATTACAACTTCCTCTTTTAGAAAAAATAGCATGTAATTATATATGGTTGCCAATCTCTTTTTATGTGATAGAAAGGAGTTTTTTGCGTATAATAAAATTTTAGATGATGATAGGCAAAATTTAAGTCCGGAATCACTTAAATATCTTACTATGATATATTTTAATAATCAAAATAATAATAAATAAAATGATTTTTTTATCGAAATAAAATCAGAATTTTGCTGTTATTGTGATAAAAATTTACAATTTGATATCAGAATTTTTCTGGGTCTCTGATTTACAACCATGTGATATGAACCACTAATGATTTTTGTACAATCGACTTGTTATTGAGCATAGGACAAATCACGTATAAACTCAAATTTCAAGCGGGATACATCAGGCATTTTTTGTGTTACATGGATAGTGAACGAGAGTTTATAGTACAAAAAACTTCCTTTACTTTAGAAATTTTAGTTAATTGTATAATAAATTGAAAGCAGGTATCAATGAAAAGGATTTATTATTCAGTATAACGATATTTGAAATATTTTATCTTAATCATTTAAGTTTATAGATAATATTAAAATTGCTTATAAATTCACTAATGAAATCTATTGATTAGCTAATCACTCATTTAATTCAACTTATTTCTAAGGTTTCAGCATTTATTTGGTAATATATTAATTGATTATGCAATATTTCTTCTTCAACCACTCTAGCTTCTTTGTTCAAAAATCTTATAAATAAATTTTTCTCATAAGATTCAGTTTCTATTTAATTTAATTATTCATAAATCTTCTTCAATAATCTATTTAAGAAGATCGTAAAAGTTAAAATAGATTTATATTTTTAAATTACATTAATCTTTTCTTCTTTTTCTGTTAATAAAAACTAAAATAGAATTACTGAAGGATCAATGTAGCATAGTTAAAAATCATTTTTATTATATAAAAATTATTATATAATTAATTATAGTGATTAACAAAAAAGGATACTTAATAAAATCATATAAAAATTTATAACATTATGACCTAAAACTTTATGAAAAGGTTCAGTATTATCTTTACTAGATTGATCAGTAAATAGATTTCCCTAATCTTATTTTAATATATATTTAGTCTAATAGCAATAACTAGAGGAAAACGTATTAGAATAATTATTTTTGTATTGTATATGTTTTACAAAACTCTAAAGAAAACTTCAAAAGATTAATAAAAACTCATTAGCTAAAGCATTAAAATGTTCTATTATTCAGAAACTTATATTAAATCTCAATCTTAATAATTAATTTTTCAATTATATTATAATTATTTGATTATTTATGATCAAGAAATAATTAAATCTAAAAAAAAAAATATAAATGCAGATTTATCATATCATTCAGAAAGTTCTAAATAAAAAAAAAAGTTTTTTTTATTATAAGAAACATATGCTAAACTAGTGTATAAAATTTAAACCAAAAGTCATATATAAAAGTTATACTAAAAATAGAAAATTAATGCATGTATTACATAGTATTTCTGTTTTTATAAATAATTTATTCATTTTTATATATAATTTATCTATTTTTAGTAATTATTTGTGCACATTTTATGTTATGTAATATGTATACACAAAATTGAAAAAACTCTTTCTCCCTTTTTGCAAAAATGCCTAAAAAAACAGAAAGAAAAAATGCCAACCGCGGTCGCTCAGCATCGCCCATAACCAATAAACTACCTAAAAAGAAACAGAATACACTTCATGCTCTACTATCTGTAGTTTCATCTATAATAATTGAAACTCGTTTACTATGAAAATATTCTTTAAGTTGATTAATATGATTTTCAAATAATTTTGGTAAATATTCGCAACGCAAAGTATCTGATTTTGAAATAAATCCTCCTTCATTACAATTTTTACACAGCCAATTTTGAAGTTTATCTACCTTTCCTAACGGAATATCAACCTTTACAAACGCATCTACTAAATTATATATAATAGTTTTTTTATTTCAGATGCATCAATAATAGTTTAAATAGTTGTTTGTTTTTTTTTATTTGTTGTTCATTTTTTTTTTTATTACGAAGGTGTGTTTTAGAACCTATATAAGAAGTAATTGTATTTTTTGTTTGAAAATTAATACTATAATCACAAAAATGACACATAAGTTTCCATTATCCACGAAAAAAATCTTCAGAAAATTCTCACGCATGTGATGAAACAGTAACTGTAATAGAAGGTGGCACTTTGATCAAAAATTTTAAGGGGTAAAAAAATTGACATTTATTATTACGGAAAATTGAAGGAAAAAAAAGAATGAAAATCATGCAAAAATTTAAATGTTCTTCCATTATCTTTGTAACAATTATTGGATATATAATTCTTCTACTCAAAAGATTTTAAATTAATTTCTTCTGCTGATCTGTGATTATTATTGGTTAATTGTCACGTATCATAAAAATTTATCAAAAATTCAAAAAATTCCATTTTACTCAAAAATTCTGATTTATTCATTTATTATAAAAATGGAATTTTTCCAGGTTTCTGATCTTAACCCTCCAAATTTGATTGGTTCATTATGGTCCCAGCCACATTACCGTAAATGGTTGACTAAAGTACCCGGGTATTTTACCAATTCGTGAAGTTGGAAGGGTACTATACTACAGGGATACTTTGGTCTAAGGGGAAGGGTACTACGCTATACCATATAAGGTCTACTATTTGAAATTTAAATTAACTAATAAGAAGTATAAGTATTTGCATGCATATAGCATAGCTTAGTTTTTTTAAACGAAAATTTTCTTTTTAAATAAAATTTTATTTTTTTTTTTTTTTTTAAACGAAATTTTTTTTCAAAGGTAATTTAAGAATTTACAATGATTTTATCATTTATCACCGATCATTTTATAATCAAAATGATATATCATAAAACGCGTTTTAAAACCTTTTTTTTTTGTTTCGTGTTTTAACTTTTGTTTTTTTTTCACACGTGATCAATCTGTGCGATGATCGATTTTTCATAAATATATCCAATATCCCCCAAAAAATTTTCCCAATTCATCTACTCGTATTACACTTTCATTACTTTTTTAATCGCAAAAACTATGTCGTTTAACGTTACAAGTTCCTCTACTAGTGTTCCTGTTATTCCTTCATCTGATCTTTTGACAGTCGGGGAAGTGAAAGGATACAGTGCCGAAAAACTTAACGAATTTTTGAAAGCGAGGCTAAAGAATATTGATGTTCACATAAATACTATCACTGAGACTCAACAAGTTGATGGTGATTCTTTTCTTGACTTAACTGCTGTGAATTTTGAAAGGTGGGGTATACCGGGTGGGCCAGCAAAAAAAATTGAAAGGTTGATTAATGACATTCAAGGAGGTAAGTGAACTTCATTCTCACTCACACCGTGTCATATTCGCCAATAATACCAAATACTTACTTATTTTTGTGCTTTTCTTTTCTGCTTCTTATCGTCAAACCCGCCCAAAAAACACATTCGCGTTATCATAGATCATCCCGTTGTTACCCGTAAGTGAATCATAATAGATTATTTGTTGGATAATTATACTGAGCATCTCTCCTTGTAGAAACCACTACAAATACCAGATTGGTACATGTCTATGTTGATCACTCAAATATTGTCATTGAGGGAAAAAAGACTGTCAGTGCATTTGAACATATTTTTGACAAAAACAGCAAGACATACTACATGAGCCAGTTTGGGATTGATTTCAGATGTTTGCTTACTGTCATCTAACGTAACCATCAATTGGGCAGTAATCCGGTAATAGTTGGTTCAAGACCACCACCGAATGATTCTGTATGGAAAAAAATCGAAGATCAAGAATATGAGGCTAAAATATATGATAGGGAAACGTTTTAGGGTGATGACAATAAGACGCATACCAAAGAAAAACGGGTTGACACTGAAATTGCGGTCTCTATGGTGATCGATACTCTCATTAATATTAAAAATCCGGGCATATTGATTCTTGTCTCTGGTGATGGCGATTTCGAACCAGCCTTAAAACTAATAATAGAGGCAGGGTGGATAATTGAAATACGATTCTAGACAAATTGTAAGTAATATTGTTACTTTGTTACAAGTTAAGTACTGTATGTACTTAAAATAATACCACTTTTAGCTACATCTCGTCATCTTAGAGAGTTAAAAGTAGGAAAGAATAAAGTGAAATTTATGTCTTTGGATCCAGAGTACAAGTTGTTTTCTTTTGGCTCTGGACCCGAACCCACAAACAGAAAAAAATCTCTTGATATATTCCATAATAACAATCAGATCTGGGAAAACAAGGATCTGATTGATTGTTACATTGGACTACAATCATCCTTCTGTTGGTGGCATAGGGTAAGTAATGAAAATTTCATTATGTATTTTAAGACCGATACAGACTTGAAATTGGCAACACGTTGGTTGGAAAATAACTTTAAGGATATTCAGGTTTGGCAAAGAGGTTAGTATTTAGTTAATAATTAATATCTTTATGTATTCTGATTCATATTGCAAGTGATAATTATGACCTTGTGAAATTATGAAGCACGAACACTATTTTGAAATTAGTATCATTATTTGTAGATGCGTTCCGAGATTGCACGAATGACATATACTATCCAAACTGCACATACTGCATTCCCCGAAGTATATTATTTCTCATCGATCGAAAAAGAATTACACTTAAGTCGGTTAATACGAACCATGTGTAATATAATATTTTTATTAACGTATAAAATTTAATGATTCTTTTACAAGACATATATTTTTTATTCCGATGCACATCACAACACACTATGAAAAATTTTTAATAATTTGGCAAATCTGTTTATTCCGTGACATTGTATAGTAAATTAGTGATTTCTCTCTCCTTTTAAGATCTATGAATAAATAAATGAAACATCATTGGTAAATTATGATATAACGTAGCCGTTTCACTAAAGAAATCCGATTTTTACTATTTATATACTTAAAAATATCTACGGATTCGTGTTACTATTAGATCAGCCTTCAATTCGCTATTTCATCTGTTTTGCCGATCTGTTTTAATTTTAAAATGATAGTGCAAATATATTCATTAAATTAACATTTTGTCATAACATAAAATGGTAATAATAAATTAAATTAATTATCATTATTGTTTTTAACAGTGAAGTTCATCATGATTGCATTTGATCTGTGTCTAACAAAGATTGGCTGATATGCTAACTATACTAAAAATATAAAAACACTAACGATTGTTGAGAATCCAATTTTTGGTTTTTTTTTTTTTTTAATATTTTTACATAAATAAATTTTTGGATATAAAGATATAAAACTATGTTTTCACCTTTACCCACTTCACCGTCTTCAACTAATTCTACCGCACTAACAGAGGAATTCACAATGGATGCCGTTGTCAAAGAACTGGATACTGAGGAACTTATTCAATATTTAAAGCGAAAAGGCTTAGGCTTAAAGGAGGAATACTATGAAATTTTAAGAAAAGAAGATATCAACGGGCTTGCCATTGTTGAAGATTTAACGGTAGAAGAGCTCCGTAGTATAGGTCTACCGTTAGGGCCTGCAAAAATTCTAGCAAATTTCTCCGAAACTCTAAAAACTCAAAAATTGAAATCATACTTAAAATACAGGACAGTGAAAGATTTTATAGAAGTCTTAAAAGAGCAGGGACTAGCATAGATGACATCCCACAATTTACACCAAGTAAGGCGTTTCCTATATAAATCAAACTATTGTACATTGCTATATTAGCAATACTTACTATTTCGATTTTAACAGAAACATACCCCATCGACGAAAATGATGAAGATTTAAAGGAGTGTGTGAAACTCATAAAAAGCAAATTGAGCGTTTTGAAATCCTTACTTCCCACCGACGCCGAAAGAGAACGTTGTGAATACGTCGAATGTTTCCTTGATATAGCAATAATTATTGCCAGAAAGGTCACAGGAAAAAAGATAACCCGCCATCCTCAATTAGAAATCACTGGTGAAGATAATACTGGTCAAGTGGATTATGTCATAAAGTCTCTCAGAACTTATTTGCATAACCGTAGGAAAATTTTGGAATGTATTCGAAGGGATTGTGCAAAATCTGCTTCAACTTAAAAATTCATCCCAAAAGAACAAACGCAGTGCCGATGTTGCCTTCAAGGAGGACTACATTTATGGAATAGTCACAACTGCGGAATTATGGTATTTTTTAAAATATAACAGTGAAGGAATTTTTTACACAGGTAAAAATCCGCTTAGGGTCGAATTCAATGAATCTGCATTAGAGGATTCAAATGAAGAACTAAATTTACGAAATAATGTGAGAAAGGTTTTGGAGGTGATAGTGGGATTATTAATAGATAAGGTAGGAACTATCGAACCGTCTGTGAAAAAGGCCAAGTAGGACATTTTGAAAAAAAAATAGAAATTATGTAAGCATAATGATTTTTTGATAGTGGCCTTAACGAATTTTGCGTTATCATAAAGCATAATGCGGATATACAGTGGCTTCCAAAAAAAACGCACCACTATATTGCTTATTATTAATCATGTGCTTTATGATTAATAAACAAAA